TGCCAATTCGCTCAAAGTTAGCATGAGGCCATTGATAGCTGAGACGTTACCCTGTAGCTTGTCTTTATAGCTGTGCCAAGGCCGCCTAACAGATTTTTGTCCATTGTCAAGCTGGCTATACATGAGGACCTTAAGTATCCTATTGTCTCGCATCCTCGTAATATGTCCATCCCAGGAAAGTTGTGCCTGCACCAAGAACGTCTCAGCTCCATAAATATTGCATTTATATATATATATATATATATATATATATATATATATATATATATATATATATATTCATGAATTATTCATACAAAAAAACAAATAAAAACGTTAATGATTTAATTGGCGAGAAATCCATCGTCGCGAACAATTCAAATAATATACAAAAACCCCGAACCTGTTTATGAATGAAAAGATCCTTGTTTTATAAATTTCTGCTGTATAAGTTCTTATTATTTTTACAAGCTTTCGTCTGTTCCTACAGACATCCTCAGGTATGGAATAGATCTTGTTCTTGTTTTTACTCTCAGTAATATAAATATAATACTAATAATCTTTTAAATATAAGCAGCTATACGAAGTTTTTACCCTGACGATTCGCGTAGGTGAAACCTAGGTAGGTTTGTCTGGCTCTTTAGGCTTACTTTACTATATATATATATATATATATATATATATATATTCAGTTAATAACTGTACAGGTTATACACTTATTGATCCGAACACATACACGCACACATGTCTGCGTGTATATGTGTGTGCGGGCATAATTGGTGTGTGCTTAATTTCACACGAACTAAAATTGTAACCACTCCCAGCATATTGCCAACCTATTCACACCTGTCATTTCATATCTATCTATCTATCTATCTATCTATCTATCTATCTATCTATCTATCTCAGTCTGCTCATATCTATCTATCTATCTATCTATCTATCTATCTATCTATCTATTCTTTCTTTCTTTTTATATATGTATCTATATACCAATCTATCTCCGTTGTTTTATCGATTTATCTCTGCTCTTACATGATGAATTCATGACGGTAAAACCTGATTATACGCTTATAATTTTAGTTGCAGGTTTAGACACCACACACGCACACACACATATATATATATATATATGTGTGTATATACGTACACACATATATACATATTGATTTCTTCTTATTAATTCATTGTTCAGCCTCGATGATTTTGCGTGTTAGATTATGAATATTACAGATAATAATTACTACCAGATAAAATGGAGGAATGAATAAACAGATATAAACAGCCTTTAATATGGAAATAAATAATTAGATAGATTCTGAAACAAGCAAATTCAAAGACGTGAATAGATACATACATACTCAGAGGTATCTCTCTCTCTCTATATATATATATATATATCTATCTATCTATCTATCTATCTATCTATCTCAGTCTCTTTCTATCCATGTCAGCCTGTTTCTTTCTATTTATCTATATATTATCTATTATGTATATAATAGCGTTTTACATCCCTATATTCTGTGTAACGCATGTTTTAATTTGTGACCACTGACAATACCTTTCTGCCTGTTTTTCATTGGATTCTTAGAGTAAAAAGTAATCAAATTAATTTATGCACATAATTCCCTTATATTTTTTTAACGCTTGTTTTAATTTATGACCACTGACTTGCAATGTAATTATCTAGTATATTAATTGATAATTCAATAACATAACTTGTTTTTTCTTGCAATGCTTGCCTTGATTCTGGACCCCATAAAAATCCCTTTTTCCTTATTCCTGCATTAATATTTTACGTATATATTCCACATATTCCCCGTAACATATGCTTTCTTCATTCCTGACCCATCACAAAATCATTCTCTCTGATAATCTATGCATTTCTCTAATAAACTAATTAGCAAGATAATTACATCAAACATATAATGGTCCCGTTCTGTAGGTAATGCTTGCCAGAATTCTGACGACCCCTTTCTTGTTAGCACCAATGCCGAACCTGGATTTAAATGAAATTTCCTCAAATCAATATCCTGATCCAAAAATTCCTGATCCATGACAGAATCTTTCGCTCTAAATTTCTATGCATTTCTTTCCTTGTGGAAATTAATTAGAGAGGAAGATGTGGAGGGCCACGATCACCTACACCCTTGTGGAAATTAATTGAAGCAAAACGAATAATTCCGTTATTATCTACTTTTTTTCGTATTTTTCCAATGAAACAAGACCCAATGCACATGTTAGTACTTTTTATGTCCAGTCCACGAAGTCGTTCCTTGCAGATTGGCCATAGATTCTCGAATGGATTTAAATCAGGAGAGTTTCCAGGCCAGTCAATCGTACTTTGATTTGCTCACTGATAAGGCTTGCCAGTGCGTTCTTGCAGCGTTAGAATGTTCGTATGTGTTGTAAGCTAGAAAGAGTTATTGAATGAGGAATAACCCAAACTGAGGTTGGAAACGAAATGGTAATCTTTATACGATCAATAAAATACAATACTCGCCAGCGGCGTGAAGTAGGTAAACCACTGCTAGTGGTGGACTATTTACACGGCATATTACCCCCCCCCCCTACTTATAATAGTGCCCAACGTATTTATGAAGATTGGGACATACACATTAGCTACAACATAAAACACACGAACTCTCTTGTGTAAATTAATATTTATTAGTAGTCCCTCGAAGTATCTTCGACGTAAAGAATTATGGTCTTTTTTAATTAGCCCAGTGTTTCCTGTGTATTACGAGCGCATTTAAATGATTGTCCAACTTAACCAGTTTTATGTCCGTAGATATGGACTTTTAGATTTTGAGATGTCTCGCCGAGATAACAGCAATTACAATGATGAATTTATAATAAGTAACGGCATCTGAATTGATGTTGGTTTTATTTTCTTCTTAATTATATATCCAATTGTCTTGTACGCGGTAGTAATGATACTACTATTAGGGATAACTAATTTATTTACAGATTTTATAGAAAGAGTGTTAGAGGGTAGAATTATGAAATTTGGGTTGTTGATCAAATAAAATATCTATAAAATGGATAGATACATAGATCGATAAATTAAATATAAGATATATCAAATTTAAAAAGAGATAGCTAGATAAAATAAAAAAATAGAGATAGATACAATAAAAAATATCATAGATAAAATAAATTCATATATAGATAAATTAAAAATATAGCTAGTTAGCTAGACATATATATCTATCAATCTATCTATCTATCTACATAGATAGATAAAATAAAAAAGATAGGTAGATATCATAAAAAATAAAGAGACAGACAAATAAATAAAATAAAAATATAGATAGATAGAAAGATATGAAGATATATATATATATATATATATATATATAGATAGATAGATAGATAGATAGAATAATATTAGTGGAAAATATACATATATATGCAAAATATATAAATACCTATGCATGTATATTTTATTAAAAAAAAAATCCACGAGGAAGAATCCAGGTAGAACTCAATGTCTAGGACAGAGTAAGGATATTAGTGTTTAAGCCTTTTTATTATATATATATATATATATATATATATATATATATATATATATATATATATATATATATATATATATATATACACTTAATATACACACTTTTCCTGTTGGAACCACTATAACCTCTTTTCTTATATATATATATATATATATATATATATATATATATATAGAGAGAGAGAGAGAGAGAGAGAGAGAAATAGATGAACTCAAAGATAAGCAGGCAAACAAACCAACAAATAGATAGACAGAGAGATAATGAAGAGACTTAGATAGATAGATAGATAGATATATATATAGATAGATAGATAGATATAGATAGATAGATAGATAGATAGATATATATGAAATGAATGATTGAGCTAGAGACAGAGCTAGATAGATAGATAGATATGAGAGGACTGAGATAGATAGATAGATAGATAGATAGATAGATAGATAGATAGATAGATAGATATGAAATGAAATGATTGAGCTCATAGACAGATAGCTAGATAGATAGATAGAGAGGACTGAGATAGATAGATGATAGAATAGATAGATAGATAGATAGATAGATAGATATGAAAAATGAATGATTGAGCTAGCTAGACAGATAGCTAGATAGATAGATAGATATGAGAGGACTGAGATAGATAGATAGATAGATAGATAGATAGATAGATAGATAGATAGATAGATAGATAGATATGAAATGAAATGATTGAGCTAGCTAGACAGATAGCTAGATAGATAGATAGATATGAGAGGACTGAGATAGATAGATAGATAGATAGATAGATAGATAGATAGATAGATAGATAGATAAGAACACATTTTAGGTACAGATGTGTTTAAGGAAGTTACCCTAGATAAATAGATCGTTAGAGAAACTAAATCCCAAACCTGACAGCTATTACCTCTATTCCCTGTGCATCTCCGATACAGAAATCGATACGTAATGATCTCTGTGTTCATACACCGTATAACGACAAACCGGTGGATGCAAAACGTGTGTATCGCGCACCATGTGTGAGGCACGACATCTGTGGCCAACACCCAATATTATTTGCCCAACACCCGGAAGAGATCATCATCATCATTATCATCATCAACATCGCTGTATGTTTTGATTGTTCTGTGAAGAATTAGGGAAAGTCATTGAAAGGTGAGAATCTGGAAGAAGCGAAGAACGTGAAGAAGAAAGAAAAAAGACGATGGAAGGCGAAGGAAGATGGAGAAATGAGGAAAATGAAGAAAAGAGGAGCGTTCGGGAAGAACTGCTGCCAAAGGAAGACAATGAAAGAATAAAATTTAAAGGAAGAAGGAGAACAGAAGAAAGATGGAGACAGAAAAATAAAAGATAGCGAAAAAGAATGAAGAATGAAGAAAGAATGAAGAACAATTAAGAAAAAAAAAAGAAACAAAAAAAAAAAAAATAAAGCCGAACGACAAAAATATTGATTTGATTTGCAGAAAAAAAAATAACAGCAAAAACAAAAAACCAAACAAGACAAAAATGTGTTCATATCTATCTATCTATCTATCTATCTATCTATCTATCTATCTATCCCAGTCTCTTCATATCTATTTACCTATCTCACACACTTCATGTCTGTCTGTCTATCTATCTATCTATCTATCTATCTATCTATCTATCTCTCTCTCTCTCTCTCTATATATATATATATATATATATATATATATATATATATATATATATGTATATATATATATATATATCCTAGTCTCTATCTATTTACCTATCTCACATTCTTCTATCTATCTATCTATCTATCTATCTCTGTCTGTAAATATCAATCTTTCTGTAAAGGTAGATGTTTTGGAGTAGATAGAGTTCATGAGTCGTGGTGAAGGCAATCCAACGAGAAGAAGGGAAAAATTTTTAAATTCATGAAGGTTTCCAATGGCAATCATCATCAAAATTTAACGGTGAAATTGGCCGAAGCAAAAGACAAGCGCAATAAACAGAAATTGAGGCATTAAGATACAAATGAAGGACACAAACTGGTGAAGGCCAAACATCATACAAAAATGGTTGGCTAACTCTGGTTTTAGATCGTTCATTTTGGCACAAAGCAGAACACTATGGTAAGATGTACACACAACAGAATCGTGGTATACAGAAAAAACAACCTGTGATGTAAAGTTACATCTTGATGACCGATCTGTTTGAATGTGTTCCGTATTTCTTATAATAAAATTTTTGAACTTCCCTTTCGTGTATATATATATATATATATATATATATATACTGGACTCTTCTGGGTAATGACTATCCCTGATATTGATTCCTAACCCATAAATATAGCATGCATTAAAACTATATTTTATCTCATATATATACTCGACTCTCCCGTCGAATTCGACGTATGAGGATCAAGCAGATCGGTTCCCAGGAAACCAACAGCCCGACAACAGCACATGAGATTTGATTATAGTGGTGAAGGTTTTGTGTAGGACCATCCACACTTTTTGAAGGGCCGAATGTGTCACAAGGTCCCCAAACGACCCTCCGCAGGTTTTGAATTCAGAGTTGTCCTTCTCCTAGACCAGTTGCCATCCAAGGCTATAGAACCCAGTCTGTCCTGCGATTTACTCATAGCTAGATGGAGAAGAAGAGGTATTAGCACGTAAGTGAATGTAATGGATTCGACTGGAATTCGAACTCGGCTCTCCGATTCCTCAATCCGAGCCGCTATCCATGAGATGTTCACTTTTACATTTATATTTACATACGCTCTATCTTTAATATTGTGCACTTTATCCCATAAATATAGAACACCTTATATATATATATATATATATATATATATATATATATATATATATATGTGTGTGTGTGTGTGTGTGTGTGTGTGTGTGTGCGTGTGTGGTATTAGTAGTAGTAAAGGTAACAAATCCATGGTATATAATCCAAGTGGATCCTAATAATATCAAATATTAAAACTGGTCCACAAACAGAGCTCAGTGGATTTATTATTACACAGCAAATAATGAATAAACACGAAAAACCAAAATCTCCTCATGGAAACTTTGGACGAAAATATCGGTCGTCTGTCTTATCAACACCGGTGTGGACTGAGTTCCTGTCAAAAATAGAAAATTAACTGTGAAAGCTCTATGCCTTTTCTCTAAATACTTTCATGGCAATGGTGTTGAGGAACATTCCATTATTGTACCTAGACCTTATGAATTTAAACGCAGATTAGATTGACAGAAATGTCTCACCATTTTACACTTGAAATGGCAAGATGTAATAGCAATTTATAGAATTGTTTTTTATTACTAAGAGAAAAAACAAGAACAACATCTATTCTATACCTGAAGATGTGTGTAGGAACAGACGAAAGCTTGTAGTAAAAATAAGAACTAATACGGCAGAAATGTATGGAAACAAGGATCAATTCATTCATAACGGATTCGGAGGTTTTTGTATATTATTTGAATTGTTTGCGATGATGGATTTCTCGCCAATTAAATCATTAACCTTTGCTTTTGTCTTTGTGTGAATAATTCATGAATTTGTAAATTGATTGCACGTTTATCGTAATATATATATATATATATATATATATATATATATATATATATATATATATATATATATATGAATATCGGGTGCAACAGCAAAATTGTCCACATCGTGTAACAGCATGCTATAATTGTCCATACCACAAAATGATTAATATCTAAAAAAAAAAAAAAATACATTAAACTAATTGAATTTCATTTTTTCCAGATTTCGAGTAGGACGTCAGCCATCTTGATGTCATTTGTCGTTAGAATAACTGAAGACCCTTTGAGTTATTTAGATAGAATGAGAAAATCGTTTTGTGTCATCCCCACTCTCTTTCCTACTGAGCAATGGTGAGATGGCAAAGATCATTCAAGTCTTCAAGCAATGGTACCACCATTCATAATCTGGCTTCCATCTTCAATGTCATTCAAGAACCATCAAGAGAACGGTGAATATGTTTTAAAAAAGAGGGAACAGTAGAGAGAAAAACTGGATCAGGAGGTCACAACACGAAGAGGGATCATCATCATTTCAACTTAGAGCTAAAGAGATTAATTAGAAAAAATCCAACTCAATCCATAAGACGTTTGGCAGAGGAGTCTCACCTGTGACAGTTCAAAGTGCAGTGAAAAAAAACTTGAAAATGAAATCGTACGTGAAACTCCAGAACAGAAAATTAGAAAGTTAGAGATGGCAAAGATCATCTTGAATAATTTGGAAAATAATCCCGGAATAATAAATATATATTTGAACATTATTTCCATTCTTCATGAGCTTTCCAATGTTAGCTATGATTAATTAATGATGAACATGTCATTGTCGTTTGATGATCGATTTCATCACAATACTCCTTTTATGCTTGGCGTGTAATTATACATTCTTATTATTCAAAATTGAATCCAGTAGTGTTATAAAAAGCTCGGAGAATTCCAGTAAGATATATTTACTCATTTCTAAGATACAACGTTCCAAAGCTTAATCTAATAATTGGACAATTTTGCTTTTGCACACACACACATATATATATATATATATATATATATATATATATATAATATATATATACATATAATAGACCATGGAACATTAGTGTTTACAGGCTGTTTCATGCCAGGCGCAATTGTCCTAGACGATTGCTCATAGCATGAAACAGCCTGTCGCCTCTGGAGTGTTGACTTAATATTCACTTTATATTTATATTTACATACGCTCTATCTTTTTTAATATTATGTACTTTATCCCATAAAAATAGCACATCTATAAATATATATATATATTATATATATATATATATAAAATTTATTGTTGCATTAACCTACAAACCACTTGATGAATGTTATGATCCTTGTTTTTCGAGTGGTTGGTAGGTAAATTTTAAAATTTTGCTTGCGAAGAGATTTCACCATTTTATATCATTAACTTTACTAATCTACTTTTTATGAATGATTCATGAATGATATATATATATATATATATATATATATATATATATATATATATATATATATATATATATACAGTAGCGGCCATAATATAAGGAACGGAAACAACAAAGGCATAAATATGTTTATTACTTAAAAATAATCCATGTCACTGAACTGAACTGTATCCCATTGTGCGTCAGTCCAAACAACATGTTCTCTCTCGCATACTTCAGGCGTGACCTTTGTTTTCGCTTTGAAATGAGAGGCTTCGAAGCTTGAATACGGTCATGCAATCCTGCATTTTTTAACCTGCGAGCAACCGTTTTCCTTGAGATCTTATTATCTGTCTCTTCATTAAATTTACGGGCAATTGATGTAGCAGTTTCAAAACGGTTTTTTTTGTAGATATTCTCACAATTTTTCGATCTTCTCTTTGCGATGTTTTTGGAGGTCTGCCGGTTTTTGGTTTTGCATCTAACGTTTTATCGGTTTTATACCTGCTAATTACACGATGAATGACACTTTTACACCTATGAACAATATCAGAAATTTCTGAAATTAACTTTTTTTTGATAGCGATAATGAGTTGTTTTTCTTCAAAAGAGAGCGTTTTGTGTGTAACATTTGCCATATTGCTTAAAAATAAAGTCCTAATGATAAATGAACTTTTACTTATTGTTGAAAAGCTCCATCGAGTTTTTTAACAATGTAAATCAAAAGTTTATGCAAATTATTAACATCGTTCCTTAACTTTTGTCCAGTAGCTTATTTCCTTTGTTCCATTTAATCTTTATTTAAAAAAAAACAAATTTTTATGTAAATTTTTGTAACTTTGTATAATTTATATGCATTACACCCTAATCTTTATTCAGTAAAAATTTCATTGCTAATCATTCATTACTTTTTAAGTAATACACATATTTATGCCTTTGTTGTTTCCGTTCCTTATATTATGGCCGCTACTGTATATAAAATCCTGTAACTTCCGATGGTCCGTCGGACCATCTCACCCTCTAAAATAGCCAGACATTGACCGATCGAAACCAAATTTTGGGTAGAAGTACAAACAGGTAAGTGGGTATATATTTCTCCAAAATTAGGGTACATAGCTTAGTACAATAAATTTTGATTAGTTTTTTTGGGGGAAAAATTTAAAAATTTTATTTAACATATAAAATACTTTCACTATTTTAAAAGCAATTTAATGATTAAAATATCAAATATTTATTTAGGAAAAATGCTATATTGTTTTTGCATATCTTTTTTTAAAAGTATTTATATATAGAAGAATGCAGTTTCCAGTTCGCCTTGCGTTTAAGAGGACTATAGACAAATCACGAGGTTAAACGCTTGAAAAATTTGGAATTTGTCTCCAGAAAAAATCTTTACGCATGGCCAGTTGTAAGTTGTACGCTCAAGAGTAAGAAATCCTAAGAGTTTATTCTTTGGTGTTGAAAAGGAATTTTTCTGAAAAAGTATTGTTTAGCATGAAGTCTTTTAAAATAAAAAATAAATTGAACTGCACCACATATTTGATATATACATAATATATGAAAGTGAACATAGGTGGCCTGACGATTGCATCTGTAATGAATTAGACTGTCGCGTCTAAGTGTTGACTTCTATGTTCACTTTCATATTTACACACGCTATCTCTGATATTGAGCACTTTATCCCATAAATATAGCACATCTTAAGACTATATTTCTTCACACACACACACACACACACACACACACACACACACACACACACACACACACATATATATATATATATATATATATATATATATGGCAGAATGTGTTTGTGTCTGTGTAACGAATGCATGGGCGCAATTTTCGACAGATTTGCACCAAAATTTACATGCACATGCTCCAAGTTAGTGGGAAGGCCAAGACCGACTTTGCATTTCCCAACTCCCTTCGATAGTGGAAATAATCGATTTTTTCATGCTTCTACGGCAGTTTTCATCTAGTTTGCTGCCATTTTAGACTGGCCAGAGTGAGAGCCTATAGCTGGCTGCCATGAATAGGCAGGAAGATTCTATTGGTCAGCGTGAGAGCCAACAGCTGACTGACACGAATGTTAAGTAGCATGCTAGCATGCAAAAATAATCGGTAGCTGCATTCGTCACAAGTGGGAAAAATTTAAATCTGCATGGCACTTTACTCCAATTGGCTCATTCGCTTGCTTAAACTCAACGTTGATTCTGATTCCGCAGAACTGGGTTGGGTGTGAAAAAGTATTTGTTGTTAACATTCTTTTTTCATTCGGTTTTTCCAGTTGCGAGTTCTTTTTTAAAGCTGATCGTTTTGTGTTCATTTTGTTTAGTTCTTTTGTCGTAACAGATTTAATGTTTAGTATAGAGCTTAGAAAAAATCGTAGTGTGAGATAGGCAAGAAGTAAGGCATGTAGCAACATCAGCACGGCAAATGGCACTCCTTTAAAGGCAAGGAAGGGCAAAAAATATTTTAAGTCAAGTGATAGCGATTGCTGTATGAGTCGTACGATTTTTGTATCAAGCACAGGCAATGCCGGGCTCTGCTGCTATATATATATATATATATATATATATATATATATATATATATATATATATATATACACACACAAACGACGGGATTCTACCCCTCATTGTATGCTCCACAATTTGCCGTAACCAACCTAAGATAGTATATAATAGTAAAGAATATTCGACCATCCCTAGTAAATGTCTAAATCGAGATGGTCAGTGGATGGTTCTGAGATGCTGTCAAGTGAGGGAGACGGAGATGGGATGTCAGTATTTTGACAGGTGACCTCTTGGGACTTTCAGACTGAATCACACTGACTAACAAAAAAGAAAACAAAAAAAAAATGCCACTTAACGAATTCTTTTCTCTGACACTTGTTAGAGTTAGAATGACGGTGATCACGATTGGGTTATTCGGAAAGTACTGAAGCATTTTCGAAGAAGATATAAGATAAAATTCCAACTCAAACTCTAAAAGAAAATCTACATATCGTTATCTATCTATCTATCTATCTATCTATCTATCTATCTATCTATCTATCCCATTTTCTTCATTACCCATTTCATTCACTTCATTATCTATCTCTCTATCTGTCTGTCTATATATCTCTCTATCCGTCTATCTATGTCATTCTCTTCATTATTTATCAATCTATCTGTCTATCTAATTTATTTTCTATTTTATTATCTATCTATCTATCTATCTATCTATCTATCTATCTATCTATGTTATTCTCTTCATTATTTATCTATATATCTGTCTATCTATCTATCTAATTTATTTTCTATTTTATTATCTATCTATCTATCTATCTATCTATCTATCTATCTATCTATGTCATTCTCTTCATTATTTATCTATATATCTGTCTATCTATCTATCTATCTAATTTATTTTCTATTTTATTATCTATCTATCTATCTATCTATCTATCTATCTATCTATCTATCTATGCCATTCTCTTCATTATTTATCTATATATCTGTCTATCTATCTAATTTATTTTCTATTTTATTATCTATCTATCTATGCCATTCTCTTCATTATTTATCTATATATCTGTCTATCTATCTAATTTATTTTCTATTTTATTATCTATCTATCTATCTATCTATCTATCGTCAATTTTATTATTATCTATCTGTTTTATTAGATTCATTATCTATCTATCTATCTATCTATCTATCTATCTATCTATCTATCTATCTATCTGTCTCATTCTCTTAATATCTATTTATCTATGATGACGTTTCCTCTGCGGTACTTAGACTATGAATTTAATCGCAGTACTAGATTGGCGGAAAGGTCTCATCAATTTACAGTTGAGATCATGGCTAGATGAAACCGTGAAGTTCTATGCTCTGCAGTTTCTTCTCTCGCACTTCTCGCTTGTGAAATTTTCTTCCGGCTTCTTGCCTCCCCGTCAGCTTTGTTCTTCAAAAACTTAAATGCAATGCCAATCGATATCTTATGTCTTCTTATTTCTTATTCTTATACTCTCCTCTATCCTTAATTGTAGTTTTTCTCATATTCTCTAACACACAGTAACCTCTTTCGTTTTAGTGGCTTTATTGCCTTGTTTGAGGTCAAATGAAATATATATATATATATATATATATATACACAATACTACACACAATATATATATATGCATATATATATTATATATATATATATTGTGTAGTATTTGTATGCCGCTACCTCTTTTCGTCTAACTCTAGCGATATGTATGAATATGTGAATGAGCGTAGGCTCGCCTGTCGTTGTATATATATATATATATATATATATATATATATATATATGCGTGTGTGTGTGTGTGTATTTGTGTGTGACAGTCTATTTTTCCAGGTGTTCGTATCTGTGTGGAAATCCCAATCTATTTTGTGTCTGTTCCCCCCTCAGTGTCGGGCCAATATGCTTGTGAGCAATGAGCCCTTACCGGCACACACATGGAGAAACTTATGCTTCTGACCCCTAACTGTTCAGCTTGACATGACCCTCCAGGAACTGCCAATTTGAAATTTGCTGGCTCCGTGGAGAAGGGCATCTAAATTCTTGACATTACCAAAAGATGTTCTATTTTTATATCTTTTTTGTTTCATTTCTTTCTTTTTCTCTCTTTCTTTTTCTTTCTTTCTTTCTCTCTCTTTCTTTTTCTTTCTTTTTCTCTTTTTCCTTAGCTGCCTCTCTTTCTTTTTCCTGTCTTTCTTTCTCTTTTCTGTCTTTCTTTTTCTCCCTTTCTTTCTTTTTCTCTCTTTCTTTTTTGTCATTTTTTTTTTTTTCTTTCTTTCTTTTTTCTTTCATTCTTTTTTCTTTCTTTCTTTTTCTCGCTTTCTTTTTTGTCATTTTTTCTTTTTCTTTCTTTCTTTTTTCTTTCATTCTTTTTTCTTTCTTTCTTTTTCTCGCTTTCTTTTTTGTCATTTTTTCTTTTTCTTTCTTTCTTTTTTCTTTCTTTCTTTTTTCTTTCTTTCTTTCTTTTTCTCGCTTTCTTTTTTGTCATTTTTTCTTTTTCTTTCTTTTTTTCTTTCTTTCTTTCTTTCTTTTTCTCGCTTTCTTTTCGTTTTCTGTCTTTCTTTCTTTTTCTCTTTCTTTCTTTTCCTCTCTTTTTCTTTCATTATTTTTCTGTCTTTCTTTCTTTCTTTTTTCTGTTTTCTTTCTTTTTCTGCCATTTTTCCGCTCCCGTTTTTCTTTCTTTTTCTTTCTTTCTTTCTTTTTCTTTCTTTCTCTTTCTCTCTTTCTTTATTTTTCGTCTTCTTTCGTTAAGTCCTTGCACGCTCATTACTTCTTCCTTTTTCATTCATTATTTAATTCACTCTTTCTTTAATCTCTTACATTTTCTGTTCATTCACTTTTTAATTCATTCTTCCATTCCTTCGTTCTTTGATGAATTCGCTTTCTTTCGTCCATTTATTATTTACGTTCATTTTAGTCATTCAATAGATTATCATTTTTCCTTCTTTCACTGTTCACTTATCTTTTTACATCACTCATTCTTTTAGTCAATAGTGTATTTACTTTTCATTCATCATTTCTTTCATTCATTCATTGACATTTCTTTTTATTTTTTATTTTTCTATCCTTCACACACACACACACATTCACACAAACATACACACGCACACTCACTTACTCACACTCTCTCTCTCTCTTCTCTCTTCAATAATCTTAATCTCCAGTAAAATTTTTCGATATCAAGTAATCTACACAATTTCTTTATTTTCTTTTGTGGTTTAATTTTAAAATAATTTTTAATAAATTGTCTGGATAAATTTGAACCATTTTGTAATTTCGGTCTGAGGCGGCAACATTTTTATCAAAGAAATTTGATAAGAATGCTTTATTAACCCATTATCTGCTATTAAAATTAAACTCACTACATGTTATTCATTGTATTTACATTGAATTACTTACATACATTGCATTTGCAGAGGTATATTTTACAACACTTAGCCTTTAAAGTTTTTATTATTAGCCGTAAGAAGACACTTTCTGTCGTAATTTTACATTTCACGAGTAGAAAAATAATGACTATTTTGAAAAGTATTTTTTTTATTATTTCTAATTAATATATATTTTTTGATGTTCTATACACATATATATTTGATGTTTCTTTAAAGACGACAATGGTAACTACTGAAATTAAACATAAGGAATAAATAAACTCCTAAGACACCTGTCTGTGCCAAAAATGCACATTAAAATAATTTGACAGTTAATGGGTTAAACCAAAGATCCGAGTTAACGGTAAAATGTAAACACACTCTACCTTTTAATTTACAATTCAGTTAGACTTGGATTTTGATTATGTTTTATCTTACATTTTAGTTGAACCGTGTTGTGCCATATATGGCTTATCTTTCTATTTGTAAGATTAATTTGGATTTAATATAATTTTGTATTAATCTCCTGGTAGTATTAGTAACATCTTGTACGGATGTATCGGTATTTGGTTGGTAATTTTGCATTGATTGGTTATTGCTATTAGCATCTTATATAAAGAATCTTTATTTAACAGTTGCATATTAATTTACCAAGTAATTCTATATGTTTAAATTATTTCCTGGTTTCTTAAGGAAGCTATTTATTTATCAACTATATATTTTTTTAAGTAGGAAACTCACAAAGCATATAACTTGTTTAGCATTTGTTAAATTACTACTCCGCCTCATTTTTTTCTTAGGAAATGACATTGTCTAGTGTGAAAAAAAAAAAATTATCCATTAACATTCGCTCCTGTTTAACGCCTGTGCTGCCATTGACTGGCAATCTAAAAGTCATGAGCAATTTATAGAAAATAATTTCTTAATTTTTGCTCCTTCTCATAGTTTAAATTTAACGGAAATCAGATTCAATTGTTCGATATGAGTAAAGCCCAAAAAACCTTAAACCCCGACTTTTTTCGTAAAAAGAGGTTGTATTTTATTTCAAATCTAAATACATCGTTTACTCGTCAGTAATTTACAATCGCCTGATGAGATGTATTGATACACATCGAAACACGACTGCAATATAGCGATTGTGTAGTGATTTCGATATGTAATATCCTAAAAAATGAATATATATATATATATATATATATATTAACTGATATGAATTGTGTTTTTTCGCTACACAGTAATAACCATGTTTCAAAAATAGAAGCTAAAAACTTTAATTTTAATTATATAATTAAATTAAAAGCATTAATTCTGGAATTAATGCTTTTAATTTAATTATACAATTAAATGCTTTTAATTTAATTATAATTAAATGCTTTTAATTTTATTATATAATTAAATGCTTTTCAATTAATTATAATTAAATGCTTTTAATTTAATTATATAATTAAATTTAAGATAGTAATTTCTAAATGGCAGTGGTGAAATTTTAGGGGCATAGAACGGATCATAAATATTCCCCTTATTTTCAATGTGACAAATTAATTTGTGATACAAGTTTTTTGAGTTACGAGCTCGATCTTAGAATGAATTAAACTCGTACCTCAAGGCATTACTGTACATAATATATATATATATATATATATATATATATATATATATATATATATATATATATATAATGTATATATATATATATATATATATATATATATATATATATATATTCACATAAGTATAGTTAAATATAACTACCAACTAATCTGGAGCCGTTCAAAGGTTTGTATATTGGCTTTAATTTCAGGAGAGAATAAAGACGAAACTGTCCAATGAACGAAGCTTCAGAACGGTTCCCCTATACTCTCTCTCTCTCTCTCTCTCTCTCTATATATATATATATATATATATATATATATATATATATATATATATATATAAAGACATTTTATGTTTAACGTTCTTTTTATAGATACAAGTATTTAAATAAATGCTCTGTTTATAATAAACAGTATTAAATAACATTTACCGGCCTGAATGCCTGAGAAATTTTCATAGAAAATATTCGTCCTTTGATAGGATTCGAATCTGCACCGGATACGAATATTTTCTATGAAAATTTCTCGGACATTCAGGCCGGTAAATGTTATTTAATACTGTTTATTATAAAAAGAGCATTTACTTAAATACTTGTATCTATAAAAAAGAACGTTAAACATAAAAATGTCTTTAATAAATAAATTGTCGGACTTTGTCCATTTCTTATATATATATATATATATATATATATATATATATATATATATATATATATATACACATTTATTTGAAAATTATTACATAAATATGTTATAAAATCACTACAAGCATAGAAATTTTGTTTCAACACTTCTGATGTTTCATCAAATGATGATGTTGAATTTACTTATCAAGACTGTGATGGTATTGAATTTGCCTATCAATCATATCAAGTGATTGTCTTATATTAAGAGTAGTATTTTTTGGTTATTGGAATTTATTCCGTACAGACCAACCATATATATATATATATATATATATATATATATATATATATATATATATATAGAGAGAGAGAGAGAGAGAGAGAGAGAGAGAAAAGAGAAAGAGAGACAGAGAGAGCTATACATTCATATATTCATTCCGTTTTTAACAAAATGTTATAATTTAATTTACAGAATCCATTAAAATAGTTCTTAAATCTACTAAGTGATTTCAAAGTATTGACTTCAAGGCGTATCAATATATTAGATTTTTAAGAGATCTTTGGATTTTTTTTCTTACAATTTTGGAGGTTAGGTGATTCGATGAACGACAAGTGAATGTACCAATGTTTTTTTTAAAAAATGTCAGAAAACTGTTTACTTCCGGCAATCTATCAGGTGCCCCCCCCCAAGTTTTTGCCGATTTTTGTTAACTTATTTCTGTCCCAGCTGTTTAGTTACTAACAGGCATAGAGTATACAGGAAGCAACTTGTATTGATAAGTACATTGTTGAATGATTCAGTTATTATTTTATTACATAACTAATATCATTTTATTTCTCATTTCAGAGCCCTCAAAATGACAGATAAAAAAATTGGTAATTCATGCTTGTCTGTTGTATGAGTTTAAACTTGGTACAAGTGCATCATGCACTTCTCGTAAGTTATGTGCAGCCTTTGGTGAAGGTGCAGTAAGTGAACAAACTGCACGTAATTGGTTTCAGAAGTTTCGTTGTGACAATGAAACCCTCGAAGATTAACCTCGCGCTGGACGACCAATATCCCTAAACAACGAGAGGATTTAAAGGCAGCCATAGAATCAGATTCAGGTTTAACATGTCATGGACTAGATTCAAGGTTTAATGTAAGCGATAAAACTATAAGACTGCATTTGCACCAGCTGGGGAAGAAATGGAAATTAAGTAAATGGGTACGATATGACTTAACACCAGCAAAAAAAAACTGCAGTGGCTTACCATATGGTCTTCTCATCGCAGTCGAATAACAAAGAAACCCATTTTTGATCGAATTATGACATGTGATGTAAAGTGGATCATGTATACAGACTCTAAGAGGAAACATCATTGGTTATAATCGGGTGATCCTTTGCCACAAACTTCAAAGGAACCACTATTCAAAAAAAAAAAAAAAAAAAAAAAAAATGCTGTGTCTTTGGTGGACATGTCAAAGAATAATTTACTATGAGTTTTTTAAAAACGGGTGAAACCATTACTGCTACAAAAATATTGCGAGCAACTTGAAGGAGTTCAGGAAAATTTGTTGAAGAAATAGCCTGCATTAGTAAACAGAACACAAGTTTTGTTTCTCCAGGACAATGCTCGCCCGCACGTTGCAAAAATGACTCCTACCAAAATAGCAGAGCTAAAGAGGGAGATTATGCTTCATCCACCGTATTCACCTGGGCTCACCCCAACAGATTTTTACTTGGTTTTAGGCTTAGATAATCATATGAAGAAAAGGACATTTAATAATGAAGAAGACTTGAAAACGGAAGTGCATAGCTTAGATAATCATATGAAGAACAGGACATTAAATAATGAAGATGACTTGAAAACGGAAGTGCATAGCTTAGATAATCATATGAAGAACAGGACATTAAATAATGAAGATGACTTGAAAACGGAAGTGCATAGCTTAGATAATCATATGAAGAACAGGTCATTAAATAATGAAGATGACTTGAAAACGGAAGTGCATAGCTTTTTCCAAAATAAAACTAAGGACTTTTACAAAAATGGCATTACTCAGTTGTTGAACCGTTGGGAGAAGGGCATAGAATGTGATGGTTCATATTTTGATGAATAAATACATTTAGGACTTTAAATATGCATCTTTACTTTCCTTTATTAAAATCTGCAACAACTTTTTTGGGCACCAGATATTTTATTTCCATAATGATTAGCTTCAGTCTATTTTTTGTGCCGTATCTCTTCAGGGAGTTGGCGATCATTACTCTACACAAATTCGTCTTCTTTATAGCTCTTAAATTTTGTATTTCCGTTATCTTTCCTAAATCTTTCTCCGTCACCCATTTGCTCAAGCTAGCCAGGTAGGTTATACTTTGTTTTCCTTTGTTTTCCTTTGTCCCTCTTGCCTTCAATCTGCCCTGTGAGTGTCAGATTTTCCGAGCTTTGTTTCTTGATAATGTGCCCTATAAATTTTAACTATTTCTTGATGGCGTTCTTTTTGTTTCCATTTTCTCTAAAACTTCGTTGTTGCTCACATGTTCGATCCATGGTATTCTCAGCATGCTACTGTAGAACCAGATTTCTGTTGCTTCAAGTCTCTTTTTCATGTTCGATCCATGGTATTCTCTCTTCCCGATGTTAAGTATAAGTGTCCTTTTTGTTTCCATTTACTCTAAAACTTCGTTGTTTCTCACATGTTCGGTCTATGTTATTCTCAGCATCCTACTGTAGAACCACATTTCTGTTGCTTCAAGTCTCTTCTTCATGTTGGATCCATGGTTATTCTTTCTTCCCGATGTTATGTATAAGTGTCCTTTTTATTTCCATTTTGTCTAAAACTTCATCATTGCTCATATGTTAGGTCCATGGTATTCTCAGCATGCTACTTCATCCGTGCGGAGATTATCAAGCATTCACTGCCCTATAGGAGGACTGAAATTGCACAATTCGGTATCTCCAATGTACTTTTTATAAGACTGTTTAAATATCCATGCTGGTAGACAATAATTAATATACTGATAAAAACGAAAACACAGCGTCAATTCAAATATGTGTATCCATTAAAAAAATAACATTCAAGTGTTAAAAATCTCTTAGGACTCATTTAAATTTACCAAAATCCATCTGCAATATACTTATAAAAAGTACAAGTATAAAAGCGACAGTCACATGTAAAAAAAGATTAAAAGTAATGAAAGCCTTAATAATAAAACGGAAAAAAGCCAACACTTAATAGCATGGACACCGAACACAGCCACGGCATTCCTATAAACTAATGTATTCAGTTAGAAATAAAATTAAATCGCCCTCCATAAAATTGCCCTTCATAAAGAATAGCCAAAAGCGCTTGGATAATGAAAATATTTCGACAATTCTTATACACTTTATGTCCAGAAAAGGAAACATTTATACGAACACAAAAATAAATTTAAAAAAAAATTAATCGCAGTAACTTGTTAGTTGTCTTTAATGAAACATGTATAAAAGAAGGATTCTCTATAAATATATATATATATATATATATATATATATATATATATATATATATATATATATATATATATATGCATGTTTCATTAAAAACGACAGACAAGGTACTACAGTTGAGCTTTTTATTTAATTTTTTCTTGTGTTCTGACAAGAGCTTTTTTTTTCTGGACAAAGTGTGTGTAAGAACTGTCCGAATGTTCTGTATTTCCGAGCGCTTTCGGCTATACCTTTAGCCATTATCAAGGATGATTCAATATCAACTTAGTAGAGTGTGTGTGTTCTGTGTATGTTCAGTGTGTGGTAGTGATGTTTTTAGTTTCCGAATACGGTTAGCACATTGTGGCTTTGTTCATAGTTAATATTGTTAAGAGTTGGCTTTTTTTTTTTTTATTATTAGAGCTTCCATTATTTTTAGTCTTTTTTTTTGGTGGATGCAGTTAATATATTTGTGTTTTCTACTAGTATGTTCCTAATAGTGTCGTTTTTAATGAAACATGCATAAAGGAAGGATTGCTGCCTAAATATACAAATATATATATATATATATATATATATATATATATATATAGGTATTTAGGCAGCAATTCTTCTTTCATGCACCTCTCATTGTCATTCAGACAAGGTGCTTTTATTTAGTTTTTTATACAATTTCTCATGCGATCAAATATTTTTTTTCTTTTCAGATGATAAATTATATAGAAACTGTCCGAATGTCTTGTTTTTTTTTTATCCGAGTGCTTTTGGCTATACATGTAGCTATTTTCAAGGATTAGATATTTTAACTGTTAAATAAGAAATAGTTTGTTGTATGTAAGTTTTATAAAATGTTTTCGTTTTTCAAAACACGGTCAAAATATTGTGTCCATGTTCAAAGTTAATATTATTAAGTGTTGTTTTTTTCAATTTTTTTATTAATAAGGCTTCCATTATTTTTAGCCTTTTTCTGCATGTAGATGATGCTATTACATTAGTGTTGTCAACAAGTATGTTACGAATAGTGTCCGGTAGGTCTCCATGAATATTTAAATGAGATCTAATTGAGCTGTGGTCAGAAAGGTGTAGAGTGAGTTTGCGTGTCAAGTATTGCTGTTATATATGCATACATACATACATACATATATATATATATATATATATATATATATATATATATATATATATATATATATCATTAAGAAACAGTTTATGCATAGAATGTTAATGTGATTAATGGTGAAATCACTTCACTAACAAGACTTAATGAGACATTAACTTACTAACATTCAATAATAAGATACTTATGAATAGAAATGGAGATGACAATTTCAAACTGTCGAAAATACTTCTTATGTGTCTTCCAGCTGACAACAACTGGAATATAAGGATCTTATTATTCAAGGAATTGATAAGCTAAAGTCTCATTAGGTCTTGTTAGCGAATTTATTTCGCCATTAATCACATTAACATTGCTATTTAATTCTTTGTATAAATTGTTTCTTTATGATATAAAATATAAACTGCACAGTTTAACATATATATATATATATATATATATATATATATGAAGAAAAATTTGGAAAAAACAAACAAAAATCCTTAAATGCAATTATGTTGTTTAAAATTAATGAAATGTCGACGTCTGACGCTTCGGTTTAATAAACCTTTTTCAAGACAATATTCATTAAAATACAATTCAGTTCAATTTGACAAAGACGATGGACATAAACAACAAGTCTTATCCAAAACAGATAACTGAAAATTTTTAAAATGATCAGCTTTCCGTTTATTTTAATGAATATTGTCTTGAAAAAGGTTTATTAAACCGAAACGTCAGACGTCGACATTTCATTCATTTTAAACAACATATAATTGCATTTAAGGATTTTTGTTTGTTTTTTCCAAATTTTTCTTCATTCTGTCGGATCTATATCCATTTACATTTGTTTACACACACACACACACACACACACACACACACACACACACACACACACATATATATATATATATATATATATATCTTTTTCGAACTAGACATAAATTATAATTGAAGGTACTTTTGAAAGGTGCAGGTAGGTTTGACTATACATATGAGGCTCATTTTATAGACAATGGTGCATTTCACCGACTGAAATGAGTTGTCGTAATTTACGTGAATAAAAACCATTTAAAACAAATTGCTGACGATTTTTGTAGTCAGGCCCAAAGTTAATATTGGTCAAACACCAGTTCATGTGTCCAAATACCTAAACCATCACGATCTACCAACACTAGTTGCCGAAAGGCGGGAAAATTTCAAGTGCTGAAAATATGCCACGTATTTGACAGGCGTCTTATCTAACAAAATGGCGACATGTCTCTCGGACCACCCGCCCTCTATGTCCATGACGCGTGTTTTCGACTGGGTGGGCACGGTCAGCAGAGTCCCACGGTGACACGGTCTGGCATTTCGAAATGGCTACTTCGTTCAAAGACTAGAACAGAATCAGAGAGCAACAGGAAATTTCCTCTTTCTGAAATCAGATATCTTCCTGAATTTCTTCATTCCAAATTTGTGCTATTCCGTATGTACCAAATTTGGGAATGGAATTTCTCTTGCAAACACTTTCTCAACCATCTGCTGGACGTTCATCGCCCAAAGAACGTATAATTTTATGTGTTAGAAAAAGTAACAGCCCAGCATACAAATTACAGATTGGAGATATCTACATTACTTAAACGTTATTTTCAGTGGATATATTTTTAAACGGTATATACATTACCGTCTACCGCTCTAAATATTCGGGAAATATATGCGTCCTTCAACAAGAATCGAACCTTTGTCTCCTTGGCTGAAGAAACTGTCGTTAGATCCAGCGTATTAACATGTATTTGGCTTTTATAAAATCATATATATATATATATATATATATATATATATATATATATATATATATATATATATATATATATATATATATATATATATATATATATATATATATATATATAGAGAGAGAGAGAGAGAGAGAGAGAGAGAGGAGGGAGGAGGTAGAGAATGTAGATGTGTGTTTGTACAAAGAATGAGTCGAATGGTTTTCTTCATATCGGCACCAACTCGGACTTCTTAAACAAACGAAAACACACTTTACATAAAATAAATAATTTAAATGTGTTCCTCGAAGTTAATTTCTTGGTTTTATCTGAAAGATGCCTTTCAAAAGCTGAGCAAGGTATTAAGAAACAGGAAAATTTTGTTATGAACAAAGAGAAGAATGCTGAACTTTTATTCAAGAAAAATATGCATCCTCCAGCATGATTCGAAACTGTGTCCCCTTGGCAGGAGAAAACGTCATTAGATCCAACGTGTTTATACCGACTCAGCCACAAAGGATATTGCCAATCATGCTAGTCTGAATAGAGCCTTTTAACCGAAATCCTTTCCGTCAAAGATTCTCCAAAGCTCATATCTGCCCAATTTCGTATCCAAACGTAAACAAAGCAATTTCTAAAGAAGTAATGGATTTTTTTTTATTTACTAATCCGAGAGATTTTTAACACTTAAACGTTATTTTTTTTTATTTTTTATAAAAAGAACCTTAGAGATAACAAATTCAAACAGATGCAACAGAGGACGGAAAGTGCGTCACGGAAATCTGACGGCGCATTAGTATAGGGAAAGATGCCTTCCAAAAGCTAAGCAAAGTATTAACAAAGATGAAAAAAATATCGTTAGAAGCAAAGAAAACAGTAATTAACTTTGTAGTATTAGTTTTCCGACATGGCAGAGAATGCTGGACAATCACCGCTCAGATAAAGAAGATAACTTGAAGAAACAGAAATGTGGTTGTACAGCAGGACGCTGAGGATACCATGGACCGAACATATGAGCAACGACAAAATTCTCGAGAAAATGGCAAAGGAAAAGGACACTTATTTTTAACATCGGGAAGAGAGAATACCATGGATTGAACATGAAGAAGAGACTTGAAGCAAGAGTAATGTGGTTCTACAGTAGCATGCTGAGAATACCATCGATCAAACATGTGAGCAACGACGAAGTTTTAGAGAAAATGGAAAACAAAAAGGACACTTATACTTAACATCGGGAAGAGAGAATATGGATTGAACATGAAGAAGAGACTTGAAGCAACAGAAATGTGGTTCTACAGTAGCATGCTGAGAATACCATGGCTCGAACATGTGAGCAACGACGAAGTTTAAGAGAAATTGGAAATAAAAAGAACACTTGTACTTAAAATCGGGAAGAAAGAATAACCATGGATTGAACATGAAGAAGAGACTTGAAGCAAGAGTAATGTGGTTCTACAGTAGCATGCTGAGAATACCATCGATCAAACATGTGAGCAACGACGAAGTTTTAGAGAAAATGGAAAGCAAAAAGGACACTTATACTTAACATCGGGAAGAGAGAATATGGATTGAACATGAAGAAGAGACCTGAAGCAACAGAAATGTGGTTCTACAGTAGCATGCTGAGAATACCATGGTTGTGAGCAACGACGAAGTTTAAGAGAAATTGGAAATAAAAAGAACACTTGTACTTAAAATCGGGAAGAAAGAATAACCATGGATTGAACATGAAGAAGAGACTAAGCAAGAGTAATGTGGTTCCATGGCATGCTGAGAATACCATCGATCAAACATGTGAGCAACGACGAAGTTTAGAGAAAATGGAAAGCAAAAAGGACACTTATAAACATAAAGAGAATCCTGAAGCAACAGAAATGTGGTTCTACAGTAGCATGCTGAGAATACCATGGCTCGAACATGTGAGCAACGAAAGTTTAAGAGAAATTGGAAATAAAAATCAACTTGTACTTAAAATCGGAAGAAAGAATAACCATGGAACCAACATGAAGAAGATACTTGAAGAAACAGAAATGTGGTTCTACAGTAGGATGCTGAGAATACCATGAACCGAATATGTGAGCAACGACAAAATTCTAGAGAAAATGGCAAAGAAAAAGAAAAGTTATGCTTAATATCAGGAAGAGATAAATGAAGATTTCTTGGGTACATAATGGGGAAAGATTATTAAGAAAATTTGAGACAGGACATATTTCGGAAAAGCAATGAATGGTATATTTGATGGGTTTGGGTTAATCGATAGCAGAACAGGGTTTTAGAGAGATGAAAAACAGAGAAATGTTATTAAGAGCTCATTATTAAGACATTGTGGAGAGCCATAACCGCCGACGTCCTGAAACGCACATAGAAGGAGATCAATCTATCTCAATATTTCCTTCCTATCTATCTATCTATCTATCTATCTCATTCTATTCCTTCCTATCTATCTATCTATCTATCTCAGTTCAGTTATGTGCCATGCATAATACTCGCTTAAGCGATCATGTATCTTTCGATACATGACTGATGAGGCAGATTTTTTCCCGCAGTAGGTCGTCATTTCTTTCTTCGTTATAAATAGTAGTACAAATAGAAATAATAGTAGTTGCCATCCAAGGCTATAGAACCCGGTCTGTCCTGTTATTTACCCATAGCTGGGAGTGGAGGGGGAAGAGGAGGATTCATACCTTTCCCAAGGGCATTAGGACGTAAATGAATGTAATGGATTCGACTGGAATTCGAACTCGGCTCTCCGATTCCTCAATCTGAGCCGTTATCCGTTACTCCACATTATTAATACTGTTTGTTTGTTTGTTTGTTTGTTTGTTTGTTTGTTTGTTTGTTTGTTTGTTTGTTTGTTTGTTTGTTTGTTTCTATCTATCTATCTATCTATCTATCTATCTATCTATCTATGTATCTCATTCTGTTAATATCTATCTATCTATGATGAACTTTACTCTATAGTACCTAGACTTTGTGAATTTAAGCGAAGTACTAGATCGATAGAAAGGTCTCATCATTTTACAGTTGAAATGACTTTATGGAATCTATCTATCTATCTATCTATCTATCTATCTATCTATCTCAGTCTGTTCACATCTATCTATCTATCTATCTATCATCTATTTCATCTCTCCTTCATCTATCTATCTATCTATCTATCCATCCATCTATCTATCTCAGTCTGTTCATATCTATCTATCTATCTATCTATCTATCTATTTCAGTCTGCTCCATATATCATCCATCTATCTATCTATCCATCTATCTCTATCTATCCTCAGTCTGTCACATCTATCTATCTATCTATCTATCTCAGTCTGTTCATATCATCTATCTATCTATCTATCTATCTCCATCTATCCATCTATCTATCTCAGTCTGTTCATATCATCTATCTATCTATCTATCTATCTATCTATGTATCTCATTCTGTTAATATTCATCTATCTATCTATCATCTATCATCCATCTCAGTCTGTTCATATCCATCTATCTATCTATCTATCTATCTATCTATCTATCTCATCTGTTAATATTCATCTATCTATCCATCTATCTATCAGTATGTATTATCCATCCATCCATCTATCTATCTCATTCTGTTCACATCCATCTATCTATCCATCCATCTATCTATCTATCTATCTCATTCTGTTAATATCCATCCATCCATCCATTTATCTATCTATCTATCCCTGTATCTCCATCCATCTGTTATCCATCCATCCATCTATCTATTTATCTATCCATCTATCCATTTATCCATCCATCATCCATCTATCCATCTCATTCTGTTAATATCTATCTATCTATCTATCCATCCATCTATCTCATCCTGTTAATATCTATCTATCTATCCATCTATCTCCATCTATCCATCCATCAGTTTGTTCATTATCCATCTATCTATCTATCTCAGTCTGTTCATATCTATGTATCTATCTATCTATCTATCTATCTATCTATCTATCTATCTATCTATGCATCTCATTCTGTTAATATCTATCTATCTATCTATCTATCTATCTATCTATCTATCTATCTATCAGTTTGTTCATTATCTATCTATCTATCTATCTATCTATCTATCTATCTCAGTCTGTTCATATCTATCTATCTATCTATCTATCTATCTCATTCTGTTAATATCTATCTATCTATCTATTTATCTATCTATCTATCTATCTATCTATCATCTATCAGTTTGTTCATTATTCATTCATTCATCTATCTATCTATCCATCTCTGTATGTTCATATCTATCTATCTATCTATCTATCTATCTATCTATCTATCTATCTATCTATTTCAGTCTGTCCTTCTTTATCGCAGTTTTTTCTTATTTATTTTTCTCTATGTTTGTTTGTTTCTCTCTCTCTCTGTATATATATATATATATATATATATATATATATATATATATGTGTGTGTGTGTGTGTATGTTTGTATGTATGTATGTATATATATGTATTGTTCGTGTGCTTGTGCGTTAGAGCGTGAGAGAACGAGAGTTATATATAATTTACTGGAAAAAAACGATTATGGATGGACATAAATTATTAGAAATGAAAGAGTAGCAATAAATTTCACGTAAAAATAATGGATGCCTCTCGGACAATTAGTCACGCCTGGGCTCCTGTATTATTCAATCCCTTTATTTAAAAAAAAAAAAAATTTTAAATGCAATAAGAGTTTAATTAAACAAATATTGAATATTCTGTACCCGGGGAATTATTCTTGAAATTTAATCTAAATTAATTTCAAAGTAGATAGATAGATAGATAGATAGTTAGAGAGAGAGAGAGAGAGAGAGAGAGAGAGAGAGAGAGAGAGAGAGAGAGAGAGAGAGGAACTAACTGGGATAGAGAGAGAGAGAGAACCAGACAGACAGACATACAGTGAGAGAGAGAGAGAGAGAGAGAGACAGAGTCAGAGGCAGAGATCTAGGAACAGACTGGGATAGAATGATAGATAGATAGATAGATAGATAGATAAAGACAGAGAGAGAGAGAGAGAACTGAGCGATAGGAACTGACTGGGATAGATAGATAGATAGATAGATAGATAGATATGAATAGAGATACATAAATAGATATGAACAGACTGAGATAGATAGTGAAGCCTTAGATAGATAGATAGATAGATAGATAGATAGATAGATAGATAGATAGTAAAGCCTTAGATAGATAGATAGATAGATAGATAGATAGATAGATAGATAGATAGTGAAGCCTTAGATAGATAGATAGATAGATAGATAGATAGATAGATAGATAGATAGATAGATCTGGTTGGAGAAAGTGAGACAGATAAATAAAGGGGAGAAAGAAAGAGAAATAACTAAAAGAGAGTGAGAGCGCGTAATCAATAGCGAGAATGAGAAATATTATTTAGAAAGAAAGAAAGAAAGAAAGAAAGAAAGAAAGAAAGAAAGAAAGAAAGAAATAAAGAGACAATAATGAAAGTGAGGATAAGAAATGACTGTTACAAATGTGATAGAGGAAGAGAAAGACCGAGAGAGAAAGTAAGAATTGACACAACGAGATAATAATAATAATAATAATAATAATAATAATAATAATAATTATTATTATTATTATTATTATTATTATTATTAGTAGTAGTAGTAGTAGTAGTAGTAGTACAAATGCTAAGCAGAGTGTTAAGAGACAGATAAACCGAACTGTTACGTGATATCTGTCTTTCTGTATGGCAATGAATGCTGGACAATCTCCTCAAAGATTATGGTGAGACTTGAAGCAACAGAAATGTAGTTCTATAGATTGATGCTGAGGATAACATGGAACGGACATGTGAGCAACGACGAGGTTTTGGAAAGAATGGAAACAAAAAGGAAACTTATACTTAACATCAGAAAGAGGCAGTTGAAATTTCTACAGAAGGATGCTGAGGATACCATGGAACGCACATGTGAGCAACGACGAGGTTTTAGAGAAAATGGTTACAAAAAGAAAATTTATACTTAACATCCGGAAGAGACAGTTGATATTTCTGGGGTACATAATGAGGAACGAGGGCTTAGGGAATCTGATACTCACAGGACAGATTGAGGGCAAGAGTAACAGAGAAAAAACAACGCGTAACATATTTAATAAGCTTAAGTATATTGATAGCGGAACAGGGTTTGGGAGAGATAACAAAAAGATAAAATGTATTAAGAGCTACAAAAGAAAGGAAATTGTGGAGAGCCATCATCGCCTATGTCGTAACGGGAAGCGGCACATAAGAAGAAGTACTAGTATTAATAGTACCACTAGTAGTCGTAGTAGTACGTTGGTGTCCGTTTTCGTGTTGTATCTGAGGAAAAGTCAGAGATGAACTTTAAATAAATGACGTAATTTTCTGCAATGAATAATGTGACCTCATATGATTATGACAATATTATAGCCGATTACTTTGATAAAATATCTTAATATACACTACTGTAAAATACAAGTAAACGTACTAAGAGACTTTTGGTTCAGATTATTCCGGAAAGAAGTCATTTCCGCACACGGCCTCAAATACAGGCCGACGAACAGCCGAGGAATAAGCTTTCGATTACGCTTACGTGTCGTTAATATTGTTTTCTATCTAACATTTAATTTAATATTTATTATTTGCAGTTATTTTTTATCTGCAGATACCCAACGTTTCCAAACATCTTGTTATCAAAATGCATCTCAAAAGCCAAACAAACGACATTCATATTTCATACAAGCGCAAACAAGAGATTTTTTTTTCTTTTCAGTGTTTTCTTCCAATGAACATTCGATTTTTATTTGTACTATTTTTCAATGACACAATCACGCATGCGCGTATATTTATATATTTATGCGAGTGTTTCGTATTCGGTGTTGTTAAGAAAATTTACAAGAGACATCGATCTTGAAAAAAAAAAGAAAAAGAGTAGCAAATAAATTCAGTATATAGGAAAATAAAATAAAATAGAATGAAATGAAATAAAAGCGAGCTAAAAATTATAAATCTGTCGAGCCATTATTTGCACAGGAAGCCTTACACATTTCAACATGGCCGTTTCAATCTTATCGCCTAAAACGTTCATTTGCATTTTTTTTTCACCCGGTCCGTGTTTTCTGTATCCGAAAACGAATAAACGAAATAAATAAAATATTTACAAAAGGGGAGGCAAAATAAGACTGAAGAAAATAAAACTAGAAGAAAGTATTTTATATATATATATATATATATATATATATATATATATATATATATATATATATATACACTCACACACAATAGGAGCACAAATAAAAGATAAATATGGCGAAAAAACGGCTTATAAATTTGAAAATAACTTATTCGATATGATTGCAATAAATTGATTCGATAAAACTTCGGACGTTCTGAATTGGTTTTATATTCTCGGGGTTTGTACATGAAGATGAGAATAATACATATGCATACAAATACACGCACACACACACACACACACATGGTATTTACCCCCCACCCCCCTAGCCACCACCCCACCCCACCCCTAGGACGAGATGTGACACAAGGTCTATTTTTAGGTGGGGACCCGAGCGCGTAAGCCAGGGACAAGAACAAAAATTACACTCTCCCCCCCGCAACCGTCGGTTGCCCTGGCATCGATGCGAGCACCAATCCCTCCCTCTGGTGCAATGTCAGGACGCGGCTTCGGGCAGCTGTCCCCCAGGGCAGGGCACCTCTTCAGTATTATTTCCCCAGTTGCCCCTATGTCCTTTGACAGAGAAGCCCCTGAGCGCACTCTGCCCAAAGACAGAGACGCAACTGAGAGATGATAAATAGACGCGTACTTACTCAAAAAGAGTAAGGTACACACACAGACAGACTCACATTAGGGTAGGTCGATTTTTAAACCAGACTCTTGGAAACGTCAAGATTGTTGGGGCATATCATAAAACGACACACAGAATATTTTCCGTTAAAATTTACATTTCTTTTGAGGAAATGCAATTAAAATCAAATTAATTCATATCTTATGAGATTATTGCGGTATTAACTGAAATAAATAACCCGGCCGGATTATTTCAGACCAAGAAATAAAATGAATAGAAATCCATTTAAAACTGATGTTCAATATTTCTTTAAAATACTGGAGAAGATTAACATATAAAATAATGACACCCTCGTGGGGGGTGACTCAATATCGATGAGTAGTAGTATTCTTAATTGAATAAACGATTACTAGACAGAATCTCTTGTCCTGTTTTCATTACATTTTATTCAATTAAGAATGGAACAATTTATGCGACCTGAGCGACTTACCATAGATCCAGAAAGCGATCCAGCCGACAAGTGCTGGAAACATTGGCGGGAGACATTTACAAATTTCATCGAGGTTCTTCATTCAGAAAGACCGGGACGTCCCATCAATAAGCGTGCGCTCCTAACCAACTACCTGTCTCACACAGTCAACGAAATTATCTCGGATTGCGTTACCTACGAAGAAGCAATCGATGTACTGAACGCTACATACATAAAGCCCCAAAATGAGATATTTTCTAGACACCTACTTGCGACTCGCCGACAAGAATCAGGCGAGACATTGGACCATTTCCTTAAGAGCCTTCGGACACTGAGCAAAGATTGCAACTTCTACCCAATGACGGCATTAGAGGCCCAAAAGCTACACATTTTGACGCCTTCATTAACGGCTTACGCAATACTCAGATAAGACAACGTCTTCTTGAGAATAAGACCCTTACACTTAGAACAGCTTACGAGCAAGCCTATATTTTCGAAAGTGCTATACAGCAGTCTAGTTCTTATTTACAGCCAGACACCGTGGGCGCCGCGTTAAACCCCACCTGTTCTTACTGTCCCCGCTCATGACGATAGTCCGACGAAGCTTCAAGAACAATCGGTCACTGCCGCTTTAAAAAGGACACTTGCTATTTTGAGGCTTATCTAAACACCTACGAGTCTCATGCCCTGCCAGAGATACTCGTTGTCATAAATGTGGAAAACTTGGTCATTTTTCAAAGGTATGCAAGTCTTCTAAAACTCTATACAAATCCACTCGTCAAAATATTTCTGCAACTTTAGCCGCCTCCCCCGACTGCCTTTCAAAAACTATTGTAAAAGTGAAAATTAACGGGAGGTCTACAAATGCCCTGCTCGATACCGGGAGGTCTACAAATGCCCTGCTCGATACCGGGAGCTCAGGAAATTTTATCAAAGAAAGCTTGGTAAAAACTAACAAATTGTATTTTGTCCCCTCCCCCAGCAGAGTAACAATGGCAAACGCGTCATTGTCTGCGCAAGTAAGTGGTTATTGTTTGGTGGACTTACTATTTAATGAAGTCTCCTATAAAACCACTAAATTATCCGTAATGAAAAACCTTTGTTGCGAAATAATACTGGGACACGATTTTTTGCAGCAACACTCACAGGTTGAAATTCCGTTTGGCGGTTCAATGCCCGCATTGAAAATTTGTGGATTGGCGACAGTAAAAATCCAGTACCCGTCACTTTTCGAAAACCTAACTGAAAACTGCAAACCCATTTTTCGTATAATAATAAAAAATTCATTGACTCTGAGATAAA